GCAGGGGGTCGGACTCGATGATCTATTGAGGTCCCTTCCGACCCTAACATCTATGAATCTATGAATGTCAAGAAACCTGAAAAATCAATGCACTCAGACATAAGCAGTTTTCAAGAATTAAGCTGGTTTCTTTTGCCTTAAAAAGCCTTTTACCCAAGTCCCCTTGACAGCCCCTACTCTGATCCCTCTGAAATTAGGACTCCCATCACTTTGTTCCTTAACAAATATCAGCAAACAAGCTATGCCCATATTGGGCAGCCTGGCAGAACAACACAGGTAGTGTCAGCAAGTCAGTGTGTACATATCATAGATCTCCCATTAGGAATCACATTCACTTGAAGGAGTCACTTTGCCATGTAAGGTCATAAGGTGTCAGAACATTAGCCCAGTTTTGGAGACAGCCACTTTTTCCAATCCCTTTGCAAGCTGGCATAGCAAAGCAGATGCAAACCTTGAACCTGCAGCATAGGTAACCCCTGGAAGTGTTAGACTGGCTATCCTGACTCTTAAAAGAATATACTTGAGGAAGTCCTGCTTCCTAGGCAGTAGCAACAGACTCTCAAGGTCTTCAGTGAACTATAACATCTGGGAACAGCTACTTATGTCCCTGGAAACAGAAGGTTGTAGAAGGGAATTCCTTTGCATGCTGGAGGTTTACTAATCCCTGGTGTTTCATGGCATCTCAGCACTGCCATTTACAAAATGTAATAGCAATGCTGATTGCAAATGTCTCCTAAGGAGACTCCTCCCAGCATCAATTAGATTACAAAGCACCTGCTTTTATTGTTCCTAATAGTTCTGTAACACTGTATGAATGAATTACTCATTAAGTATTGTACAGAGCAGGTTTTCAGAGGATAACGCAGGAGTGAGTGAGACAAAGATATGTCCAACAGTGTGGAGTCGGGTGCAGGAGCAAAGGTGCACAGTCCAAGTGGTAGTATCTGAATGAAGCCTGAGCCACTGAGTCTTTGGCATCCCACTGAAGATGATTCAACACACTGGCTCACTACTGGTGGCTCCTCATTAGCAGAAGCATCAAATAGCTTGCTATTGGTTAAATCAATGGTTCTCAACCTTTGATGTTTACAAACGGGTCCTGGTAAAACAATGGCCAGTCCCAACCCAGTGCCCCTCACTCCTGACCCATTGCCCCCAGCCTCCCAGTGTGTGGGGCAGGGGCCCCTCAAACAGCCCCTTGCAAGCTAGAATTCTGACAGCCTGCAAGAGAAAAGCCACAGTTTCCCACAATTTTCTCCTTTAAAGGAGAATCCATTTTTAAAGTTTGTTTGCAATCCTTTCATATACTCTTGCAACCCACTTTTGGGTCATGACCCACAGGATGAGAAATGCTGGCTTAGATCACCTCCACTGTAATTCCTTATGGAAAGATGCAAGTGAGTCTAAAGCCCCGCTGGAAAAGCCTAGTGGCAAGGGGCTGAACTTAAGGATGCTGAGAATTCATACAGCACAGGATGTAACAAGTTAATCAGGAGGTATTGTTCTCTGACAAGGCTTAAAAGACCGTTAGGCTAGATCAGTGTAGAAAAAGAGCTCCTTGAAACTCATGAAGGAGCTTGCTCTGCAGATCTATTTTACGTAGGAAGCAGTTAGTGATGGGCACTACAGAAAGCCTCCGAATAGAGAGCAACAGCAGCAACAGAGATTCAGTTTCTTTAGCCAAAGGCTGCTATGAGAGAGAAGCTCACTGATTTGGACACAGGAAGGGGCAGGACTCCCAAGTTGTAGTAGGAGCTCTGCCAGTGTTTTGATGTGTGTGAGCAATTCACTTAGGGCTGAACTGTTAAACTCACCTACCTAACCCTATAATATAGCTACCTATAATTTAGACATCTAAATAACTGAACTATCAGCAGTGCTGAGGATGCACAGCTGGCTCCCTTTTTCAAAACACCTCTGAAAAAATCAGGACATTCATTTAGCATTAAGACCACTATTCTCAGGAGTCTAACTGGGAAGATACAGCTCAATATATACCTGAGTTTACCAGTGACAAAAGAGATGATAATTTCTCCACCTATTAGGGGCACTGAGGATAAAAGTACTTGGGGATTCTCACACAGGTGCTACAGTACTCAAGTTTATTAATAAAAATTACTATAACTATCCATGTATGTGAAATTGGAGTCTTTCAGAAACTGAAGCCCTCCAAAGAAATACATCTCATGCTAAGCATAGCCAAAACCTCCAATTATAATGTGTAGTATTTAAAAACAAAAAAACTTTGTAAGAAAGTGAGTAACAAACCAAAGTAGGTCAGACTCCTGCAATTCTCTTCCATGTTTCCAAGCCCATTAGCATTACAACACACAGTGGCTGGTGGTCCATTTCTGGGTACTCTCATGCTGGTTGTGGACATTCAGTGAGGCTCTCATTCATGCACACAAGCAGCCAACAGCCCTGACCTGGTGACAGCAACACGTACTAAATCTAAGCAGAGGAGTGAAGTAATGGAGACACTGCAGACACTCTGCCTCACAGCAAAGGCCTGTGCAAGATGGCAGTGCTACAAGAGCCTTTAAAACTCATTCAATTCTTCCCATTCCCCACTATCTTCCAAATAGACCCCCCCCACCCCTCACCACCAAGACCACCTAACTTACTGGCTAAAGGGAGCTGAGAATGCAGTCTTTTCAAGGCCCAACACCAACAATTCCTTAGGAGCGATTCAGTGCATAATGAAATCCTGCAAAGCATCTGGTTGATTCAAAGGGCTTTGACTTAGGCCCTCTGTATGGTGAAAAGTCTCCTGCTCTACTCTACCATGAAGCAGTGTGAACTCCCCTTGAATAAAGAACAGACCCAGAAGTAGAAGCCATGTCTCCTGACCAGCCAAGCACAGCATTGCCACCAAGCCTTCCAACTGGACAGTAAAAGAAATGTAGTCCAGGTGTTTAGCTCTCTCCCTCTTCCCAACCATGACCAGAAATGTTATTTCTTATAACTTGTGGCTTGGAGTGTTGTATTTTCAGTCCTGCCAATTCAAATTCCCCTACAGTGAACAGCGTATGCCCGTACAATGAGCTACAGACCATGATGCTTCTCCACAATGCAGCTTCTAGCTTTTCTGTGAATAGCTGCCTTTGCCCAGGACCCAGTAAGTTTTCAGTGCCACCTGCCAGTGCGTTTATTTATTTAGATTCAAGTTTTGCCAAAAATGGTGGTGAAAAATGTCAGCAAATACACTTCCATATTTGTCAGCCAAAAGCCAAAGGTTTTTTTTGTTTTTTGTTTTGTTTTAAAAGCAATAAGATGGCTTAAAACTGCTTTGTCACAGAAATAATGGCCAAAGATCTCCTCTCTACAGGGGTTTTGAGGCATACTCTGGAGTTTTCATAAAGATTTTTATCCCTTCTAGATAGCTGTACAGGATGGTGGAAAAGCAAATAAATAATAGATTACAACCACTTTGTAATTTGATGGGCTTGTAAAACAGTTTCTGAAAAATCCCATTACACTGATAAAAAATGTTTGTTCGCTTCTTTATCAAATTCTGTGGAACTTTTCTTCTGAGGGAAGTGGCTGTCTTCAATAAATACTGGCAAAGGGTTAGAATTAGCATTGTTTTGGTTTGTTGTAGCAGAGAAGAGTATGAAAAGGAAGGGATCTGCCCCCTATTTTTGGAATCTGTAGATACCAGACAGAAGACAGCTTCCAGACTTCCAGCAAAACCACACTGTGTTCAAGATCTCAGCATTTGGCTCCTGAAATCACCTCTCAGCAGGCTGCCTTTAGGACAGAGGTGAGATGGTTTGTGATTTAGGCACTGGTTTAGGACTTAGGAAATCCAGATTCATTTCCTAGCTCTACTATTGACACTGTGTGACCTTGGGCAAATC